CAGCACGCCGATATGCTGACCAAGGTCCTTGGTAGGGGCAAGTTGGAGTACCACCGGAAGGCTCTGATGAACCTGCCGATGTAGGGTTCTGGTCTCGTTTTCGTGGCGTTTGTTTTGTTTTGTTCTCGCACTGGGCGCGTCTCGGACCATGGTATGTCACGCAGGAAGCGTTGGGCAGGGGCGTCACCCGCGGCGGCAGCTTAGGGTTTTTGACCAATTGCTTCGGGTGTGTAATCAGCGTGGCCTGTCCAATCTGTCCTGCCTTGGTCCTGCCCTGATAGTGCGGCCGTTGGAATCCTTCGTGATAGCGACGGTTTCTTTTATGTTTTGAGTTTGTAGGCGAGGGTTTTTGATCCGGATGGCCGAGTTTTTCCCTTGCACCCGTTGTTGTATGAGTAACGTAAGAAGATCTGGAGTATCCATGCCCCACTGATGGTTTGTCAATAGCTTGACGAACCGGGGAGGGTGTTCGTGTGTCTGGATACGAGCATGGTAGATCTGCTAGCAGCACGGGGGGGGTACGTAGACAGGAGCATGCGAATGCCTGAAAAAGGCTACTATGTGTGGGCCCCGTTCCCCGAATTCGGGAGGGCCACTTCTTCCCTTCCTTTCCTCGCTCCCGCGGGTGTCCAACAGAGAGAGTTAAAGCGTGTCTTCTCCTCCCAAGTACGGACATATCAACAAGTACGACCGTCCCAGTCAACCTGCGTCAATCACGCAGGGGGGCTGCAGAATGCACAGCGAAAAGAACACATTCCGACGAAAGGCCAGCACCTGAGGGAAATGACGAAGAACCCATCTGCCAACCCAGCACCATAGCTCAAATTTGAGCGGTTTCTACTTGAGACCTTCGCCCAAAATTGAGCTGTTTCTATCGAGGGCACCGGCAAGCGAGGCGTCGTGTTTGACATCGGATGACAGGCCTTCTCTCAAGCGAGTCATATTTCCTGGGCAAACAAGCCAGGCCTCCAATGGGGCTGGTTGGGGCATCACCCGAAATGCCTTCCTCGTGCCGCCCGTTTGCTACGAAGACAGCACTACTCGAGCCCTCTCCACTTACCAACAAGCAAAGCTTTCACCTCTCGTTCCTTCCATCTGCAAGTGAAGCATTCATTGGTTAGAAACCAAAGGTTGGCAACCTCCCTATTCGACTGGTACGACCCCACGCTTGTCTTTGAACACAAGACAACTCCTTCACTACAACATTGAGAAAACAACAGCAATCTGCTTGCCATCGAATGGGACAAACAGCATTTCTCCTGGTCAAAGGCGATAGACGCCCACAGAGTCGATCACTAGATTCTGAAACAACAGGGGTCTGCGTAATGCTGATTGTGATTTGGGTGCTGCCTATCGAGTACCATATTCGGCCTTAACCCTCAACACCTTCCGATCTTCTTGGTCGAACGTCCGGGGCAGGCGCAGGCTCAACACCAGGTCCCCTTTCTCGGAATGCATCCAGAAGGAACAAACTGCACAAACCCATAAAACTACCTGAATCGCGAAACGAATCTGGCCCGCGGCGTCGGCAATCGAAGGTACCAGCGGGGTCACCGTGCTCGTGCACAAATCGGAGTACACGTCCAAGGCTGAAACAAGTGAGCGAGCACACTGGGCTCCAGTCGCTTCGCGACCCGGTTTCTTTCCGGACGCAAAAAAATTCCGGGTGGGAACTACCGGGCGTTGGCTTTGAGCCCCGTGCCCTGGGGAACCGAGCCTGCTTCGCTCACCATAAACGCAATTTCAATGACGACACCAGACGCTAAACAACTATTTCGCACCGGCTACGGACATGCTTCGTTTGTGGGGACTCATACATCTGCCTCGTTTTATGGTATTATAGTCGAGTGTCTAATCTGATACGGTAGGCTCTAATGAGTCTGCCGGTTCTAGCTCGTCCCCCGCCAGCTTCGCAGTGTCATCCCCCTCCACCAGTGTATTCTTGTACCAGTCGTCAGCCGACCATACTGGTGTTGTAGGTGGGTGATGTTGTTGTTGTCGGCGAGAAGATCAAGCAGAAAGCCACAAGTCGAACACGGGGGTGTTAAAAAGAGAGGCTGATCGCTCCGCAACCAGATGTGAGTCTTGTCGGCTGATCACACCGCGCGTTACATCGTCAAGGCCGTTCAGAAGAAAACAAAAACAGAAACGGCTGACGCCAATGGTATCACTGCAAGCGCGTTGAACAAGCGTCCGTGTCGATATCCCTACACGGAATGGATTTTCTGCATTGCTACATTGTCGTGTCGAACGCTGCTCCGCACTGGCGTGCATGAAAAAACAAGACGACTGCCGGCGTCGATCAGAAGAGGTGCCGTGATACTAAAAGGCACCCATCAGTGTCAGATGACGCGCAGAAGTACGTTGTCGCATGCAGACGGTTGTGAGCGCGGGGCCTAGAAAATTAAGATCAAGGGCCTTCTCCGCCACAGCTGCAAAACTTGCAACAAGGAACGCGTGGGAGTAAACAGTCACACCACCTGCCGTGTGGGCCCCGAGCTTGTGCTTCATGGGCTTCGCGGCATTCACTCGCAGTACCTTTCCGTATAACTCGGCCCCTGAGCGTGCACGGCACGGGCGGGGTGCATGCGGAGGAAGGTGACAGAGAGGCGCAGATAAAGCAGCACAAAAGTTGCCGTTGCACAATAGGGTTGTTAGTACAGACGCAAAATGCGCTTCTACGTTGCCTGGCAAGGCCACCCGTATTGGCGTCCTGTGTGCCACTGCGGCGCTAGAGATTTATTTCGGGTTGTAGCATCGCGAGAGACGGTACGGCAAGTGCTCCTCTAGGAGACCGTTACGGTCTCTAAGGTCTCACAGAACGGTAAAAAAAAATGTGAATGAACGAATGATCACGTTCAGTCCGAACCTCCGAACCACGCACTTTTTTGACCCGAATGCCCTAGGCGCGAGGGATGTGACCATCGGCCGTCCTGCACTACGTTAGACACCCTCAACAAGTTTCAGCTTGATTGGGGCCTCCGCGCTCAAGTTTGGATGTTGCGCTGACCGGCCGTCTCAAGCACGAAACACGAGCATGCTTTCCGCACTGAATTGCTCCAATCTCTAATCCTAACCCCAAACGTTGCCTAGTCTCCACCAAATTGAAGCCCCGTCCAATCTACAGCTGAATTGACAAGTCCCTCGACGCTGGAATAACTGTGTGTCGGACAATTTTGCCTGCCAACGGGAGGTCCGGACCACACCGCTGCAACCTAACGCGGAGTTTATTCCGCCGCATGTCGCACGCACACATCAAGTTGATGATTGATGACTCTCTCTTTCCTCGTCGAACGCAGCCAAGCCATAAATGTCAATCCATTCAAATCCATTGTACAATAACTTCTGAGCAATTAGCGCGTGCATGTAGGTGCCTACCTGCCATCAAATTCCAATCTACAACGGGACTGCGAGGCTGGGATTAGCTTGCCAACGACAGGGTCGGGGCACACCTCTGTCACCTGCCCCAGGGAGGCTGCTTATTCCGCCGCCGCGTTTGGCGTACATATGCATCAATGTATTTGTTCTTGTTATTTCGCGCGCGCGCATAGAGGAATGGAAGGAGCGGTTTGTGCAAGGCGCGTTCTGTGTATCTTTATTCCCGAACAGTCATGCACTCACTCTGGATACGTGCGATCGACAAGTCCCTCGACGCCGGAATAGCTGTGTGTCGACCAATTTTGCCTACCAACGAAAGGTTCGGGCCACACCGCTGCAACCTTACGCGGAGTTTATTCCACCACGTGTCGCACGCACACAACAACAAAATGATTATTGATGACTCTCTCTTTCCTCCTCGGACCACACCCATCGATAAATATGCATCCACTGCACAAAAACTTCGATCTCGAACAACTAGCGCATGCATGTAGGTGTCTACCTGCCATCAAAATCTAATCTTCGACGCCGGAATTAGCCTGCCAACGACAGGGTCGGGGCACACCTCTACTCTTCTTCACCTGCCCCGCGGAGGCCGCTTTTCCGCCGCAGCGTTTGGTGGCTACATACATTTATTTGCTCTTGATTTTACGCGCGCGCGAATAGAGGGACTTCGACTACCTTCGCATTCAGGGAAATTAACTGGCGTGCTCTCGTCTCCAGTATTTTTTCGTTTGTGTGTGTCAATTTCGTCGCGCCGTGACCTTGGGGTTAACAGAAACGGTAGGCCAAGCTTTGACAGAAAGGAGCGTATTTTGTGTGGTGTTGCAGCATGCGCGTTTCTGTTGGTTGTATGTTGATTTTAGAAAAGACCAATCTGCAGGTCAGCTTTGGGACGACCATTGATAAAAAATGCCATGATATCAAAAAGCATCATCTATCAGCATTCTTCGTACATTTGCCACATTATTATCCACCTCCTTCTCACATGCATACCACCTAAAGAAAAAAATTCCTAGAGGACCAGCACGGTTGCCCGAGGCAAGCTGCGATACAAAAACGAGAAAAGTGATTCACCCAGTCGATCGCTCGAGCACGAGTACCAGCCGCAGCAGCTCGCTCTGCCAGGCTGCAAAGCGCTTGGTTTGAACGTACTTCGGGAGAGCAGTTGATAGAGAAAATCATTCCAGCTACTTTGTTCTGCCGCTGCCCCAATGACTCCATTTTTCTCGGATGGATCTTCAAGGTGGGAATCACTGTTACTGTACATCGCTAACATACGTGTTTATCATTGGCCGCTTTGGGTAAGCACAACGTCTGGGCTTTCAGGCAGAGATGAGCAACAACAACGAACGACACTCAATCTTACCGTCCATGTTGTCTATTGCCGCTTTTGCGTCCTCCTCCAACTCGAACTCGACGAATCCGAAGCCTCGGTGGGTATTTGCCACGTGATCCTTTGGAAGATTGACCTTCGCCAAACGGTAACGAGAAGGACATGGTTGACAGTGAACGGTTGGTAGCCGTGTTGCAGGTGGTCGACTAGCCGCGCCGTGCGACAACAAGCGTTTGTTCTTAGCACCAGCTGGTATCCATGGTGCGATTCAGTGTATAGCCTTAAACAAACTCAACACAAGGCCAGTTGCCAGCCGGTTTTTCCCCACTCACTGAAAAGACTTCAGCACATTCCTCTCGACAACTGTGGCAATGTATCTCGCACGGGTGGTCTTTCTGCGAGGTTGTGTATACTTCCTAAAAAAACAGTGCTCGAGATACTCAAACACAAATATCCGGCGTTGCCACTGGAGGCCTGCCTTTCTCTCTTTCTTCACATATCTCTGTTTCTCTCTTTCCGCAGGCGCGCAGTCGGATTCGGCCGTAGCCCAAGCAGTGCGGGAGACGTCGCTTCCGACGGCAGCACGAACCCTCAGTCAATGATCGCTTGACATGCCAGCTGGCTGGTGGTGCGCATGGCCCATGATTTCTCTCTGTCTATTACCTTCGGCGCCCATGCAAACTGCGGTATCGAGCGTATTAAACACACGTGCCTCGTGTAGATCAGGGTCACACAAACCCGTGCTGGTACTTGCGCCGATAGGTAACAGCAGCAGCACACCCGGTCTGCTTTTGCGTAGGGCAACCGTGGTGATGACCTACATTGCTACGAGCCATCACGTGTGTGCAGAGACAAAGGCTGGGCCCCTCGTGAATGTCGAACCTCTCCTGCTGTCAAAAGAAGTGCAGATACGTACAACCTACAAGTGTTAGTGTGGAACCATCCCCCAATCATCCCTGCGACTAACTCGGCGATATAGCACCTATCTGCCCATGCCAACCTACGCCAATCGCCACGCAAAAGGGGTCCATCGGTTCCTGTGGCGAATGGTCCTTGACCCTTCGTTTCAAAAGCTGCGGCCGGCCCGAGTGCTTCAACACCAAACGAACTATGTACTTCCCTCGAAGATGACTCATCGGCAATCGGGAGTGGTTGCTCCCTTGGGAGGACCGCCATGCCAGTGTTCGTGGTGGGCTATCTATGACCTCGCAGGTACAGGGTGCAAGAGAGCATTCCTGAGGTTTCCATGCAACCACTGTGAGGAAACGCCCTGCTTCACGGATCTCCACTCTACCCTCTGCTAAAACCTACTGCGGGTTTCTACTCGCCGAAAATCGCGTGTTTGCCGTTGCTGCTGTAGACAATGTATCTATGTATGTACCACCACGGTGCGCAGGTCGTTTTGGTGCTGTGTAGACTACTCCCTACTGACCTCAACGATACAAGACAACAACAACAACCTCCTTACTCACCTCAACGATATCCCCGAACGGTACGAAGGCGGCGTGTAGGATCTCCTCATTCACTTGCTCCTCCAGCCCCCCCACGTACACATTCCGCTTTGGCTGCGCCTCTTTGGTCATCCTTGTGTATGCCTAACGAAGACTGTCGCCGCCGGCCCTCCCAAGCAGGCCTTAGCGAGACTCGACTGCCCTACAGAGCGTGTCCGCCGCGTGTGCTTGACACTCCGAGGATATTTTTCGCTCTCGCACGAAATGACGTACCTAACTCGCTGGAAAATCAAGCGCTCCGGAGTACGACAGATGTGTGAGGGAAAATGACAGCAGAACGACAGAGGTGAGGTGGTGATGCTCCTTTCCTTTGGCAGAGACAACACGTCAATGGCAGGTGGAAGCCACAGCCACCTGGGGCTCCGCAGTTGCAAGGATTTCTTGAAGCCGGGGTATCGCTTTGCGACGTGTGCCCGCTCGGCAATCGGTAGCCGCGCCGGTTGCGCCGCATCCCTGGGCAGCGGGGAGCGAGCGCCCAAGAGAGGACAGCTAGACGGCAGCGGTCTGGTATGTGCATGCGCCTCTCTGGTGCCTCGTGCGTTGTGAGCTTGTGAGTCGAGAGAGAGCGCGTTCTTGCGTGGGCAGGGAGAGAAAGCGGCGCAATATGGCAGCAACACCCGAGGCCTGCCCCTGGCAACGGCACTGGGACGACACTGGCACTGTCTTCTACTACAACGAGAACACCGAGGAGTCAGAATGGGATGTCCCGCCAGGATGGGAAGACTACTTCGCCGGTCTCGATGAGAAAGCCAGCGGTGGTGTCGATGACGGAGCCAATGGCGACGCTGGTGATTGCGATGGTGGTGCTGGTAAAGCAAACGAAGCGGAGGATTTGAGAGGGGCTGACCAGCGCCAAGTGGACGATGCGGAGGGCGCGCAAGCCCTGTTAGGCCTCTCCCAGGCTTCCTCCGGGGACCATGGCGAGGAAGCTTTCGTTGCGGTTTCACCCCCTGGTTCTCCAGCGGAAAAAGAGGAGAAGCGAGAAGGGGAGGAAGGCTCGAGGGCGGGGTCATCCGCTGAAGGTACTCCGGATGCTGCTGCTGCCGTTGGCTACAACGAGGCTGGTGCCGCGAAGGAGATCAATCGACAGACGGGAACACAAGAAGACAAGGGTGCCCCTGCCGCTGCTGGTGGTGCTGACACCGCTACTTGTGCTTGGATCCAAAGCCGAGACGAAGAAAGCGGCGATGTTTTCTACTACAACGAGGTCACCGCGGAGTCTTCGTGGGACGAACCGGCGGAGTACACGAAATTCCACGCCGCTGCCGCTACCGCCGCTGCCGCCCCCGCTGCTGCTACCCCCGCTGCCGCAGACAGCGGCAATGACTCAGAACAAGAGTACTACCCGCAATCGCCAGCGGAACCGGTGGTGAAGGTCGAGGACGAGGAGGGAAAGCTTTACCTTTCGCCGGCAGTGGCGGGTGCGTCCGCTGCCGGAGGATACGACGGCACCCCCTCCCCTCACTCCCCCGAGGACGAAGAGGAGGAGGAGGAAGTTAGGTCCACCTCGCCACGGTCCCCATCCCCGTCGCGAGCGGACGGGTCCTCCACCGCTGCAAGACGGACCCGCAGCAGCAGCAAGGACCAGAGGAGCCAAAGCAACCAAGCTTCCCCGTCACCGGAGCTGGGGCTGTCGTTCCCAGCGTTCGGCGACGACTACTCTCCCAACCACGACGCGGAATGGCAGGTGAACGAGGAGGAGGAGCTGGAAGGGGGCAAAAATTCGGCATCACCGAACGAGAGCGAAGCTTCCGCGGTCGGCGGCCTGTCCCCCGTTGTCGAGAGCGCCGGGGGCTCTGCTGCCGGGGACGATGGACAGAAGCAGGGGATGAGGAAGGCGGGGCGGAAGGGGAAGGAGAACTCGGTGGAGGACGGGAAGCCGCAGTACTCGGAGGAAGAGATGGCGAAGATGGTGAAGAGCGCGGAGAGCAAGATCGCGGAATGCGAACGTAGGGTGAGTTCAAGATGGTGCGCTGGTGTGTGGTTCCACGACATCATTTCACCGGAGTGTATTTCTGCGCGGCTTATTCCGAATACGGGTATGAATCATTGCAAGTCTGAAGCGTTGGGTCACAATTTCTTGGTGCTTCGCGAAAATGAGTCGAGAGGTTGATTCAACATAAAGTTTGACGGGAGGGGGGACTGAAAAAGAATGTTCGCAACAAAGGATCGAAAACGACACTACATACGGCTGCTGTACATCGGGATTGGAATATTGGTGCTAGCCTACCCCCTTGTCCACACCCGTTTTACCCGCTGGTTTCATATGTTTGTTTTCTCTTCTGACCGAAAACGGGCATATCTCAGACAGGAGAAGGAGAAAGGTTACTAGTTGGCATGAATGGCGGGAATCACCAAGCTATGAGGGCGATAGAAGTTCCACCCCCACACCACCTTAAAACTGACCTGTCTGCCCCCCTCCCTCGATCGATGGCGTGAAGTTGGAGGAGAGGGACGCGATCATGGAAGTCGACTTCACCGCCAGAGTCACGGCCTACCAGAGCGCACGGGAACGGCTGGAGCACTTGAAGGGTGAAGCGCCCAATAGGCAGGCGTTCCTCAAGGTGACTAGGCTCGTGTGTTTGTCCGGGTCTGTAGGCACGGTGGTACGTGCCTGTTGTTCCCGCCGCATCGAGACCGATTGTGGCATGCACAACATTCGTGCGCTTGCGAGATGGAGAGTTTTTCTCTCGCGTGAGAGTGCACGCGTATTGTTGAAGCGAAGAGTATCACGTCTGTCTCTCACGCGCAACTCCCTACGATGAGACCTCCGATGCACGAAGGGCGGCAGAACGGAACGATAACTGTCCATCATCTTGTCATTCTCTCTCTCTCTCTCTTGGGCGTCTCCGTCCCGAACGTCGTCTTGTAGGAAACCCGTAACGCCGGCGTGAAGAAGCTCGTCGCCGGGTACAATGGTTACGCACAGCAGGCGTCGATGGTGAACGACTGGATACGCGTGGTGAGACAGTCAAGGCAATAGATAAGTCAGACAGATAGACAAACTGACAGAGTAAAGGAAGATACACCACGGAAGAAGCCATGATGGGTGCTTGTGTTGCTGGCACAGGCCGTAGTGAGATGTTTAGAGTGGCACTGGGTTGCAGGCTGTTTGATAGTAGTGACTGAGGGCAACAAGCAAACGCCTACACCCAAGCGAGGCAGGTGCACGGTAGTAAACGTCAACTCTAAGCAACAACCGGGGTGCCGATTGCTTTCTGTTCCGTTTGCAGGCGACAAAGGGGGACATAGATACAGAGAGCCTGATGCTGCAGCAGCTCAAGAAGCTCATCAAGACCAACTTTGACGCGAAAAAGGTGTGTTTGTGTGTGTGTGTTTCTTTTTTCGTTTCATTCTCGATCTAAGGTATCAGTAGTTTCTATCAGGTTTTGCTTGGTCCGGTGTGGTTGGGTATGGTTGGGTCCGAGTCCATCATTGAAAGTGTTCTAGCCGCTGGTTACGCTGGTGCTGACGTCGAACCAACTCGACCAGGTGACCAACTCGACCGATGTAGATACCCATTGCATTCGTTTTGCTGTGTCCAACGGAACACGCTCGCGGAAGTCAGCGCTCGACCATTCACAGCCTGTCCTTGCCTCGCAGCAGAACGCGAGAAGGTTTGTTGCACCGAGAATGCTGAGCGACGACAATCGCACACGGCGCTAGTGCAGAAGGAAATAAGCACATGAACGCGCGGAAGAGCTCTTGTCTCCAGAGGCTTGAGCCTTCCATCCTGCCTCCTCGGCAACCCCCCTGTCTGGCATTCGCACGAACAAACGAAGCGCTTTCTTGGGGTTCGTCCCGACCCGATCGAGTATTTCCATTGGTTGGCCTGTTTCCTGGCACTAGTGAACAAACGCGCATGGGCCCTAACACTGATCATGACTGACCCGTTAGATTCCTTCACACGCACCTGTTCCTCCTGCTCCTCCATTGCTCCGCGGGTGAGCACGAACAAACCCACCGCAACACACACACGCACAATTTGTTTCTCGCGCCTCCGCTTGTGCGTCGTCGCCTTCATAGGTGGACACGCTGCTCGACTCGAGCATGCCCGCCTGGCTGACGGCCATGCAGGACGACACCGGCTGGAGGCGCACCCTGATAGAGCTGGCGAGGGAGCACAGGGCCTCCGCCCTCCTCCGCTTCGTGCTGAAGCAGCTCAGCGACATGGGCTACCACAGGGAGATCGCTTCGGTCATCAGCGAGACCGACCTTTTTTCGGTGTTCAATGGTGAGGCATGTATAGGGGTTTTCGTGTTTCGATGAACGAGAAAAGTAAACAAGTTTCTCTGATTCGATGGAGGAGAAAGGTAGGTACTTGTTATAGGTGGTGACAACACACAGAGAGAGATAGAGGAGAGAGGCGGGAGCATGTAGGAAGACTGTCCTCCTTTTTCACACCGTATCCGCCCCTCCCTCGCTTTGCACCTGTTCTTGTTCCGCTCTCATTCCCATGTCTTACACCGTTGTTTCCCCGAAACAGGGGTGCTTAAGGATGCCCTGGCTAGAATACCCGCGGACGACGAGGTGCAAGCGACGGAAGCACTGGCGGACCTCAAGCGCATGTGCTGCAGCACTTCTTACATGTTCATGTACTCTCAGGTGCGCATTACGCATGCTGTACCTCGTTCATGTACCAGGGATATGTATGTGACACGCACAGTCCCCATGCCCAGAGACGGTTGCGGCACTCACCAGCCTCTGCTGCTACTGCTGCTGCTGCTATGGCTTCAGCCCGAACCAAGTGTATGCAACTTTGCTTCTGGTTTCTTGTGAGGAGGGTCTGCTCAGGCTGGCTGTGCATCACGCTTGCGTCGCCCATATAGCGCTTGGCTGACGATAAATCGGACTGGACCCGTCCTAGCCTTCACAGTACCGGGTTATGCGGTATGCATGATGATGATTCTGCGTATCCCCTCGATCGCCGTCCGCACTCGTCGTGCATGTTCTTGTTTTGTGCTGAAGCAACTCCTCATCAACCTGGAGAGGGCGGCAGCGGAGGAGTCACGACCAGAGGCCGCCGCGGCGGTAAGAGCTGCAATGATAGCGCTCTTCCTCTTGTTGTTCGAAGTATGTTTATAAGGGTACATGAAACGCATGCTGCAGGTTGTCCGCACGATTGCAACCGCATTGTTGCTTCTCACGTTTTGGTGAGCTATGTTCTATTTTTCCCGTTGCCCTGTTGAATTTTCTCTCCAAGTTGTTGTTCACACAATGTACGTGTATGTATTCATTTTATTTTATTTAATCGTTTGTAGCAATTTCTTCTTCAATTTGTGACAGGATTTTCTCGTGTTTACGGATGGTTGTTTTTTTTTCGGTTCGAAACGCGTGTTCAACAGAGGGTCCTGAGAATGAAGAGCTCCAGTTTCTTTTTCAAGCGTTTCTTTGTTTGAGCTTTCGTGGTTCAATAAGGCCTCGTCTGTTCGCGTCGTACACTGGTCTCTCCGCGAATGCCACAGGAAACCGCCAATGGAGTCAACGTGAGCGGCAGCGGTAGCCGCAAACGGGGCCGAGAAGAAACATCCCCGTCGTCCACAACGACAGGGGTTTCCAGTCACAAGCAGGCCGACGGCAGTGACGGAGGGGGGACGGGACGGAACTCCGCGGCGAGAAAGTACAAGCGACTTCGTCAAGAGCTCGTGAGCAACCGGTCTTGTTACTGTTTTGTTACTTGTCGGTTTTTCTTTTCTTGCGTTTTTCGACGTGGCCTTAGCGACGGAGAGGAACAACTTCGTGAGAGGTTTGCTCTTCACGCTTGATGCTCGAGTGACTTACGCTTGTAGCATACCTTTGGGCGGAGTTGCCCATAAGGACAATTTACCAAAAGTTATGTTGTGTTTGGTGGACATCCACCCATGCTAAGTATATCAGCGTCAGCCTTCTTAACAAGTTAGGTCCCCGACACTCGTTTTCCCCTCCTGGAATGTAGAGACAGTCTTATCAAACGGCGAGCCGAATCCCCCCCCCCCCCCCCCCCCCCCCCCCCCCCCCCCCCCCCCCCCCCCCCCCCCCCCCCCCCCCCCCCCCCCCCCC